TCCTTACTTTCAGCTCTAGCCCCTCACAGCCACTCTGCATGTTACCTGCAGATTTAATCTTTTGTATTCTTGTTTCCTCTTTTTTTTTCTTTCCAGGGACAGCAGTTTGTAAACTGGATGGGCACCTGAGATCTTCGCATGTGCTCTTCACTTAGCAGACCCAGTCATGGGCACTTGAAGGTGTCTGCTTAATTCAGGCTCCTCTACTCCAAGAATTGACCTCCTACTGATACTTAGAGAGGGAATGTTGGTGGCCTAGTGGTTAAAGAGTTGTACTGTCAATCCACAGGTAGCAAATGCAGCTCAAATCCACCCACTGCTCCTTATGACAAAGATGGGCCTCCTCCTGCCTGTTTTACAGTCTCTGAAAAGTCACTGAGTTGAGTAATTACAATGTATCTTCAATCTATAGAGAGCTCTAAGGGCGTAGTCTATACGGAATTAGGCAGCTAAATCAAAGGCCAGGCCTCTATGGCAATTCGAATCCACCAGCAAATCCTTGTGGAATGGCTTTGACCATCTTTTGACTTTGTCCTCAATCTGAGTAGTACTAATTCTGAGTTCCAACTTGTAATTTTTTTTTGTTTTGAGAGAGGAATACAAAAGTGACTCTAATTCTTCATGGTGGCTACCGTGAAGTTGAGAGTGCAATGGCAGAAAACGAGTTTACAAGGCTGGGAGATTTCAGTAGAAATGGGCAGGTATGCAGTGCTGATGATGCCTGCCTGCATCCCATGCAGACCATTGTTCCTTCCATCCTTTGCCTTCCTTGTTTCTAACCCACTAATCTTCCTGTTGACTTTCTGGGCTTTTTCTGATAGATTATCTTCATGCTTAAATTAAGTAAAGACATTTTCTATTCTTTGCAAATAAGAACTCATACTATTAAAAGGCAACTGCTTTGTAGTTGCTGTTTACACTAATGACAGTAACCTCAGATACGGGGAGGGGAACAGGGCTTCTCCTGCCATGTGCACAGAAAGGAGAAAGTCAGTTTTCAGAGAGAGATGGAGAAAGCGGGTGCACAGAAAGAAGCAGAAGAGCCCCTAATTCTATGACTCATGTTGTCTTGAGGAAACCCCAAAGCTAGACCAACTGGCAACACAGCCCTTTCTGCCTGTCCATGACAGTCATTGCTTTTAGATCCCAGAGCACCAACTTCATCTTCAAAATCCTTCTTAGCATAATGATTCAGAGCAAACTCAATGTCATCCAATCCATGATGACCCTCCATCTGGTTTCCAAGTCAACCATCAAATGGCCTTGGGTTTCTCTTGTAGAGTGGCTGGTGAATTTGAACCATAAATTTTTCAGTTAGCAGTCCAACATGAAACTTAAATCACCAGGATGCTGATGACTCAAGCAGGAATCACAGAATTAGAGTTAAAATACGTTGACATTTCTTTGCTTATTATACCATATCATTTTCTCCCAAGATCTTAATTTGAAAAGCCAACCTGTATGCAGAACAGATTATCCGAGAGGCTCAGCTCTATGAGGAGAAGCATGGCGTCAGGATTGGTGGAAGATCTATCAACAATCTGCATTATGAGATGACACAACCCTGCTTGCTGAAACTGAGGAGGACCTGAAATGCTTGCTGCAGAGGGTCAAGGACTGCAGCCTTCAGTATGGATTGAGGCTCAGTGTCAAGAAGACAAAGATTCTCACCACTGGAC